CTCGTCGTACAGTGGTTGTAGCTGCCGCAGTTCCGTTCACCGACGATCTGGGGGGGGAATAGATAGCTGCGCATTGCAGGCGGGAGCTGATAAATTGGTGCGTAAATCCAGCAATGTCAGTGGGTTGTCAAGTGGGGGGTTGGAAAAGGAGCTATGCATTGAAGGCAATAGCTTGGATGCACGAGCGCCATTGAGGGCGCGACTGGGCCATGTCTGACAATGTCTCTAGCCATTGATCTGGCCCGTCTCGGGTTCCCCATTCAGGAAGACGACAATTACCAGCGCAGCTGAGTTTGCTGGTAATGGCTTTCATACTTCGCTGCCAAGTCATTGTTTGACCGCCTCTGACTCTGTTCCACCCTTCACGTGGTTGTGCGAAAAGAGCCCTTTGAGGAAGTCGGTCGACTGGCATACGCAGCACGTGGTCAAGCCAACGCTACCTGTGCAGTGTGATCAGTTCATCTATCGATACGGGCAGTCGAGATGCGGAGGCTGGCTAGTAAGTTCGCGCCTTGACCACTGAGCCATCTCGCACTCGTGTGTGAGCGCACATTTTTCTATCTTACCTATTATTCACCCTGACATACAACAAGTGCTTGAAAGAAAGCCCCTCAGCCTGCACCCCCGCAGAATACTGTAGTAGTACAAACTGGTACCGGACGTTTACACGTTCTAGCCCAAAAGTTGATGCGGATATCTCCAGCAAATCTCGCAGCTATCCGCAGATGAAGCACGATGGTTTCGGTTCCCATCCGGGGCTCGTGTGCACTGAATGGAAACACCTAAGCACACTGGACAAAGTTCCTTATGGGTCTCACAGAAATTATGAATGACCCTCAAAGTATGCTTTTGGAAATCAGTTTTGGACAGGATTATATCCGAGGGACCTACGGCAAATCGTGCAAGGCTCCTGCAAATTCCAAAGACTCATTCACACCTCTACGCAATACATCAAATGATACGGTGTTATGCACTCACAAGGCTTCGACCAAGTCTTCGACAAATTCCTGGTGTAACGGTGGTACTACTGATGGGGGAGACACGCGAGTAGTATGTTTTCTTGTAAATTCGCTTTGCGTCTCTTGAAAAGTAAAATCTGTTGCGGAATTTGTGGAGTCGCTTTGTAGCATTTGCTTGGATTTGAGCAACAGTCAATGAGTATCCAGAAAAGTTCAGGAAGACGCGTTCAAAGAGGGGATGGATATTCAGTTTTTGTAAACAAGATGCATATGAGAGTTTTGCTTCCCTGTCCAATAGTCTGTAACTGTTCAAGTTGGCATTTCTAATAACTCTGCAGCGGAGGCCTTCTTCCTTTCACTGGTAGCCAGAAAAGATTTGTGCTCGTTCGGTTCGAATCGTTGTCGGATCATTATTATTAAGTTTTCCATATTTAGTCCCGCACTCGTAACGTTTCGTTTTTGCTCACCGAGGCCACTCGCCCCCCATCCGTCTCAGTAGGCCACCCATTAGAAGCTCCCCGCTCGAAAAACATCTGGCAACCTAATCAGCCAGGCATTTTGTTGTAAAAAGCCTAGTTTCGAGACTTTACTCCCTTATTATAGCCCGAATCTTTCATTGCGTCGTAATAGAATTGTTTTCTGTTTAATTAATAACGCGAACGACTTTCAAATTTCGTGACCTAAAGGTCGCAGGTGCTTGAAGACCCCCACTGTTTGTTTACAACCTTGCAACGGATCCAAAAAATGCATGCTGACAGCTTTTAAAAAATCAAGTTCTGCCCCATTCGGTGGAGTAACGAAAGTGCGAGTAAGGTACTCTTTTACCGTACTCTTTTAATTCAACGATACGGACCATGCTCTCTCCCTTGTCGACTTCGAAGCAATCCCATTGAAACTGGGTCGATCGATCGTCACAACCAGGACAGTTACTGGGTCGTCGTTCGATGAGTCGGGTACACCAATCACATCGCTCAAGTGTGAGCACGTTCACCCGTTCAGACGTGAAAATTCAGATGCGTTCAGCGTGCGTTGGTGGAGTAGTGGTTACACGCTTGCCTCGCATGTCAGATGTCCGGGGTTCGAATCCTTGCACGGCCATTGGATATGCATTGCTGATGAGCTCTAATAAGAACGAAACTCGAGTCCGGTGCTTCCCTTTGGTGTGGACTCACCGGAATAATTACGCCAGAACAGGAACACGGCCGTTCCAACGAGAGTGGTGTGACTGTGAACAAAATACCTATTCCGCAAAACCCCGAAATTGAAACTGGAATAATCTATGGCCTGGTGCGATAGAAAGTGAGTCGGAATAAGATTCTCCAATCTCCCGGAATCGCATCGAATCGGTTTCCTTTATTCGGAACTGATACAACCGTTCGCTGAGCTGCCAGCTATTGGAACCCACAACAATATATTTGATTACCTACCCAGAGGACGGAAATAACCGGTTCTGGTTGATTGGCTTCCGAGCACAATCCCACGTGTTCCAACCCCATTTTCCGAATTACCGGACTTCTCCCATCCCTGGTTGCGGCGATTTCCATGGACGCGAATTTGTCCACCACCACCATGACAGTTCTGTCCGATCATTCCGTGGGTTGTCACATTCGTTTGACCGGATACCTAAAGCCCGGAATGGTAAACAACCAATATGTTCGAATTTTTCGCGCGTTCCCTGACAAGAAATTAGCATGATGCTTATTGTATGTGCGAGTGCGGTACAAAAACATGGGAAAGACAATCTGACGCAACAGATAAAAAGTGACACCGCGGCGATCCGGTCGATTCTATGCGAGTTCGGTTTTGTTCGTCCACCATCTACTTCGGATAGCTTGTGTGTTGACGCGACTGGCTGCGGGCGAATCGATTCGACGGTTGAAGCAAGTCAATGAATTGGGAACAGGTGAAAACTTATTCTCAAGTTGGGAATGCTAAAGTAGCTTTTACGATGCTCTGAAGCCAGCTTGTACCTGGCTTGTCTGTCACGGTTCGAGCATCCTCCGCTGAAGTTTACTCCACACCGTCGGAACTTTTGGCATTCGGTGGTTGCGTCCTTCGACTTAACTCCGAGCATTTAGTGGATCATACTGTCAGAGTTCATCGCACAATATGCTACGCTGGTCAGATCACGCCGCCTTCTGCCACCGCTCTCCATATGCCTCGTCTTGTCAAATGCAAAGTGGTAATGTTTTGGAGCGAATGTGAAAACCTTGTCTAGTAAACTCCGTCGTTCCTTCGATAGGCAAACAGGTCACAGCCAGCAGGTATGGCAACCTCCACTTCGAAGTCGTCCTAACCTCTAGTTGATCATCACATCGGAAGTATACAGCGCCTAACGAGCTAGACCACTGCTCCAAACACGTTTCTGTTTCTCTTTCCGCTCCGTGAAGAAGTGTAACTGGAACCCAAGTCCACTTGGTATGTGTGAGCTATCGTCAATCGACTGAAAGATTCAGTTTTGTTGTTGAGAGATCTTCTCTTTATAGGACGCTTGCAAGTCACCTAAAGCATACTTGTTCTCAGGTAGACACGCTGCATTGCTTTCCGTTATCGCGTTAATGATGCCACCCTGGTTTTTCGCTCCGGACTGGCTTTTGTGCTTCGCTTACGGTGTACAGCGAATAGTTCTTCGGTGAAGAATCACCGCATTCCAAGCAAGACAGGTGCCGCCTACCCCCTCTTTTGTCTGTTCCCATCATTCACCTTTCCCCCACTGACCTATTGTCCAACTCAGTTTCAATCTGTACCGTCTGGATTATGTTACTCTGGCCTTGACGGTTGTTGTAGCGTGCTTGGATTTCTTCCTGTTGATGAATGTGTTCCGTACTGCCGGGTGTCAACTGACAGCTTGACCTCTGCATCGTGTGAATCAAAATGACCGATAGCTCGTTTTCCAGCCTAGCCCACATCCGGTGTCAGTTTTCTTTAACCTAATTTATTGTAAATTTGTAAGCCTGGCAGGAATAAAATGCGGAATGTGTAAAACAGAGAATGGTTTAATCAGCAAACGCAAGCACACACAGACAGTAGCTTAGTGCTTCAGGAGGAATTCCCACCAAGTGCTTTTTAATCTGTCCGAATGTCTAGGACGAGAAAACTTTTACAAAAAGGTGTGGTTTTCTTTCCCCTGTATTTCTCACTTTTCGGGAACCACACAAAATATTCAGTCATCCCTCCTCCACTATCCCAATAATTGATCACAGAGTAATCCGGCTCTTGTCACTCTAACGCTGTCTGTGTATGCACCCCTTACTTTTTAAGAAAAAATTTTCAACGGCCGTTTAGTGGTGGTGGTCTATGTGCAGCATATTCAGTTGTAGAACATCATAAACGAGAGATTCAGTTGAGTCTCTCGTGAAAACCAAATTGATTTGCAAATGAGTGCATTTCTCGAAAACAGTGCAATTTGGGTTCAAGTAGAACATAAGGTTGATGGAAACTCGGGGACTGCGTCTACCTGATGAGCCCCAACAAGGGCGAAACCGGTCGTGAGCTGTCGTAGAGTTTTCAGCTACCTTGTGAGTAGTTTCATTTATGAAACAGGTGTTTACCACAATGTCTGTCTAGTTGTTTGGGCTTGAAATCCAGGCGCCGGAGTGAAGATCAATCTTGAAACATGTTCATACGAAATCACAATGGAAATGTACCCAGATCTAGCGCGCGCACACACACACACACACACAATTAAAGCACGATTATCCGTGGATAGTCCCAGAGAGAAGTCAGACTTGTCCATACTGCATAGTCTTGGGGGCGGGTCTTCGTAGAGGCACCTCAGCAACAGCGTTGTGGCATGATTAGTGCCTGTCCGATGACGCTGTATAGGATATCAATAACTCTTGTCTTCGCGCCAGAGAGACGCGTTCTACGGGTAGTCGGTGATCGATTTCTACACGTGGTTGACTCTGTTCCGTTTTGTCTCTTATCTCGCTACGGGAAGACAATCTCAGAATCTGCTAAAATCGGTCTTTTCTGGGGGCTGAAGTCCGGCTACCCCTTGGTTACCGAACCTATAAAAACACTTTTCATATTACCGGTCCGATTCTTCGTTTCGTACTCGGCGTTTAGCCGATTGGCATTCAGTCAGATCCAATTTGCCGTGTCCAGTTCTCCCGTATGGTGACGTTTCACCGTTCCATTTGTGATGTTGATGCCCGTGACATTTTCTTGGAGCAGTCAGACCCATACTCCTGTCCATTCTCGGGTGAGAGTAACTCGCACGAAACACATGTTGCACATGTCCTCTCTCTCTCTCTGGCTTTCTGTATGATGTTAATGTCACAATGACGGCATATCTGATTATGTTGATCCGAAGTAATCGGTCTTGACATTCTTGTCCATTTTCAACCTCCACTCTGGTGGCTGACTTGCGAACACCCTAATGGGTCGAAACAGTTGTGCAGTTCGTGGGATTCTTGTTTTCTTTCCCGCTCGTCAACTTTCCGTGCGCAGTACAACAGGCATGTCGAATTGTGGCAAGTTAATGCCAAAGTAGTATTGGTGGCTTGGACTAAGCAAAAAGATGGAACTTGGTTATTCGGTTTTTGTTTTTCTCGACTTTACGTGCTTCAAAATATCATTGGATTGGTTACAGTTGCAGCCAACAAAATGTCTCATTTTTTTGTATGGTTTTTTTCCCCAACCGTTTTTCTGTACTTTGCCGTCAAACTTGCCTGTGTGCTTCAATCCGACTGTAATCGGAAGTGCGACAGGTGACGTCATTACTATGCGCGATTATTGTACTTTAAATTGCTTCCCAAGTTGCTTCACCACTCTCGCGTACGTCATCTCAGGCGCCATGTCAACATCTGCTTGAGGGTTTGCACACTGACTAATTCAATCGCCTGATGACTTAAAATAGTTAAGCATCTTTACGCACTCCGGTTATTCTTTGCTCTCAGTCACGACCAGCTCTGTAGTAAGAACGAATTCGATTGACGTCCTCAACGTGGAGCTGACACAGTCGCTACCATCGTGCTTTATGGACTGCTCTGTGGAATGGCAAGGCTGTGTTTCACTGACGGACGCAGTAGAGATAAACCGAGCTTCAATTAGGTGAGGATCTAAAACTTTTCAGTCTTAACTACGGGGTTCAGGATTGGAGGAACTGCTGAGAAAAGCGGTATTGTTCTATCGATCATTTCGTCACAATGGAGAATATTTCTCCCCTTCGATAAGTTCAGGGTCAGACCACGAGCTCTTGTCCAAAGTTTCATTCTATGCTGCTCCTACCTAGGCTTAAGCAACGTAACTATGTCTCGACCATAGACCCCAGATGTTTTTTGACGTCTGTCCGGTACCATAACCGGATCACTGGATCTAATCTGCCACAACAAATATTCTATCTAGTCACCGTTCCCAGTGTCAAAGTGGACATTCATCCCATCGTGATCCCGAGAATTCTCACTGAT